CTTTATATATTCTGTTATAAAATTAGTTATTATATATTTGATTTGCAAATACTTTTTTCAAGTCCATGGCTTTTTTTTCTTCTTAGTGATTGATTTCAGAGAGAGAGAGAGAAAGAAAGAGAGAGAGAGAGAAATGTCAATTTGTTGTTCCACTTATTTTGCATTCATTGGTTGATTCTTACATGTGTCCTCACCAGGCATCTAACCTGCAACCTTGCATATCCGCATGATGCTATAACCAACTGAGCTACCTGGCCAGAGCAAGTCCATGGCTTTTTAAATATTATTTTATCAGTGTCTCAAAGAGCAAAAAGATTTAATTGTGGTGAAGTTCAATTTATAAATACTTTCTTTTATAGATGCTGCTTTCAGTGTTGTATCCAAGAAACCTTTGCCTAACGGCCACATAATTTTTCCTATGTTTTCTTATAGAAGTTTTATCGTTTCACATATTAAATTTAGATCTATGATCCATTTTCTTAGTTTTGCTTACAGTGAGAGGAATATCCAGTTGTTCCAAAACCATTTGTGGAAAAGGCTATCTTTTATTCACTGAATTGCTTTTGTCAAAAATCAATTGTTCATAAGTGTATGGGTCTCTTTCTGTGAATCTCTATTCTCTTCCATTGATCCGTATGTCCATCTTTATGCTCCTACCACACTGTCTTGTTCCTGTAGCATTATAATAAGTCTTGAAGGTAGATAATGTAATTTCCCCAACTTTGCTCTTCTTTTCAATTTTTTTTGGGGGGGTGGTATTCTAGGTACTTTGTGGTTTTGATGTGCTTTTCCCTAATAGGTAATATTGTGAATTTTATCATGGGCTTATTGATCATTTGTATATAATTTTAGAGCAATGTCTGTTCATATTCTTTGCTCATTTGGGGAAGGTTATCTTTTTATTATTGAGCTGTAATAGTTATTTATACATTCTGAATATAAGTCCCCTATCAGATATATGATTTGCAAATGTTTGGTCTCACTCAGTGAGATTTCTTTTCATGTTATTGACAATATTATTTACAGCACAAATGTGTTTTTTTGTGATATTCAATTTCCTTGTTTTCCTTGTGTCACTTATAGTTTTGGTGTCATATCTAAAAGGAGTTTGCAGAGCAAACAATTTATATCAGCCACTGTTCTAAGCCCTGGGGTATACCTATAATTGAAAGAGGCATGGTTCCTGCTTTCATGTAGATTTAGTGGGAGGGCCAGATATTTATTCAAAGTCACATATAAATATATAATTGCAAACTAATTAGTGCTGTGCAGGACAAATCTGAGAGCCACGAGGAAATATAATAGGGGACCAGACCCAAGAGTGTGTGTCTGTGTATGTGGTACGTGTGCACGTGTGCATGTGTGTGTGTGTTTCAGGGAGAAGTTGCCAAGAGTTTCCTGGTGAAACAGTATTTGAATTGAAACATACAGAATCTAAAAGAGAAAAGAGCAATGGAGAAAGCTCTCTGCAGAATGGACCTTAAAAAGTATATCTCCCAGAAGAACTGAAAATGGACCTTGTTGAGTTGCAGAGAGAGCAAGCCTGAGAGAATCATCAGATAAAGATGTGTAAGCAAGCAGGGGAAATGGCTTGCCGGGTCCACTAGATCATGCTAAGAACTTTAACATTTTTCCTAAAAGCAATGGGGAGTGATTGGAGGATTAATCACTTTGACTATAATATGGAAAACAGATTGCGGAGCGAATAAGTGGCAGTGAGGCGACCAGTCAGGAGGCAATTGCAGTCATTCAGGCAAGAGATAGTGGTGGCATGGAGTATGGTAATAGCACTGGAGATACAGAGAAGAAAAGAAATTGGAGAGACATTTACTAAGAAAAATGAATGGAGCTTGGCCTTGGAAAGAACATGTGAGTGACAAGTGATTTACTGCTATCTGTGTTCTAGGAAAGAGAAGGTGTCCTCAGAGCCCTGAGTTTCAAACTTAGCAGATTTTGTTCTCAAACATTTAGTTGTCTCTAATAAATTAAGTATCTGAACTTCCTGCTTAGTTCTGCTTCCAGATCTGATCTCATGAACTTCTGACTTCGGATCTTTTCTTCTCTATATGCACTCCATATTATCCTTCACATACAATATTTGATACATATCCTCAAATACTAAGATTGCACCTATTTCTTTTCTAACCTCTGTATATTTACTTCCTTAGATTATATTGGTCAGCCATTGGTATAACCTGTACAATCAAGTTCAATTTTCCAGAACTGTACCAGGTACTAGACTATCTGGCTGATATTTTTACAGTCAGTACCCTAGAATGTGGACGAGACAAAGGGACTTTTCCTCCCTGGCCATTAGAAACTAGTCTCAAGTAGAGATCAGCAAGACCTGTAATTAACACAGCATCTTAACAGCTCCAGAACTGAGATGAAACATCCTCCAAGTTCACAACACCGCCTCATAGCCCATTCCCCTAATCAGACCACGCATTTACCACACCTTCTGCAGAACACAGTAAGGTATTTAATGTTTCTTTCAGATGTAAAAATTGATGAATTTCTCCTAGATGCTGAAACTTTAGGAAACATGATATATAATTACCCCCTCTTAAAATTCCCTGTGTTACAGTTCCAAAGTTTGCAGTGCATATAGCTGTAATTATTTCTATATGTAATTACATTTACATAATACTTATATGATTTTATTTACATACTATCTAAGGTGATGATTCATTTTCAGAAACTTTTTAGATGCCCCAAAACAGAATACACTGGAGCTATATTTATGTCTTACTTAAAATGCTAGAGAAAAAATATATATATATATACATATATACAGGGGAGGGCACAAGTAGGGTTACAGTTGTGAGTACATGAAACACAGAGTTTGTTCTTGTATTATTATTTAATAATTATTGTATTACTTATTTGTGTTATAACTGTAAGCTTACTTTTGCGCACACCTGTATATGTTAATTTGTCTTAGTAAGGCAAGTATATAAAAATTTGAGGAATAATAAATAAATGAAAATAGAAAAGACATAGTTATGTCACAGTGACAAATCATTGTTTCCATGCAATATCAGGGGAGAGGTATGCTACATCCCAGTTATAACCAAAACAACAAAGCACTCCATCATGATAATGAACATCAAATGCATGGATTTCCCCTTTGAACAAAGACACCAAAGCACATCAGAGCAAGGGGCTTTATTGAAGCAATTTCTGGGAATGTTGAAAATGGCTGTGAGTTTGGCTGAAAGGTTTTAGCCTAAATTACTGAAATTAAAACAACAAGCATACTTTAGTTAAGTAAATGCCTTGGTCAAAAACAGTGGTAAGTGTGTAGCAGCAAGGGGGTAAGACTGACATAAGGAAAGCATCGTGAAACTCAGAAATCCCACTATAGTGCTAACTTCTTGACGAGGAAGATTAATAACCTCTTACTCAAGGGTTTTAATTCTAAAGATGTTCATTTTGAGCTTCCTTATTCTATGTGATTAAAGCTTTAAGGCAGAGATTAGACCCATGGACCATATTCAAAAGAGACCTAGATGGTGATTTTATACAAAATCTGAGCAGGTCAGTGGTCAGAGGAATCATTACAACCCAGAGTCACTCCTCCATCTTCTTAATAACTGTTTAAGCAATTCAGACAAAGAAAAGGGAGGGGCTACTCCAAATAAGCCTGATGATTAAGACTGTTGAAGGCAGCAAATCATATGAGATCACTCTTGAAATGATAATTTACACCATAATTGGGTTTTTAAGGTCAACCCTGTTGTTCTTCCTTGGGACATTAGTTATCTAAGCAGCCACCCCCAGTCTGGCCTGTTCATCTGTGTCCTGCAGTTCTATTCATTACCTATTTTCAGCAAGTATTTGTGAAAGTCAACGAGAAGGGATTACTACAAAATTTGTTTAAATAAAATATATAAATTATAATATTGTTTTTACAAACAATAAAAAAAGTGGGAATTATGTTGGCCTCAATTCTTTCCTCAGCCACAAAATAAATGTTGGTCCACTGACATATACATTATATTTAAATTTTTCTCATGACCTTCTAAATTAGAAATCCCCATGAACATTACTAAGCAAGGGACATGAAGAAACAAAAGATAAATATGAGCAATGTGAGAGAAATCAGTTAACTACTAGAGAATCTTTTTATTTTGACAAACTGTCATAAACAACTGATTTTATAGTATTTTCAGCCAACAAACAGTGAGTTCTCTAATGTTAATAAGAATAATGAGTGAATAATGATAATCCAGTTCTAGGCTCTTCTAATCCGTCTGTTTTGATATCGATGTGCTGATGTACCTGGCATAAAGTTCTGTTTTGTTTTCCTTTGCCATGTTTCCCTCAATCTCTGTCAAAATCACCATCCATAAAGGCAAATTATATTTTGTTTTACCAACATATTACAGTTCTGTGTCTACTCTCCAAAGTGGACAGTGTAGCTCCTTCCAAATATCATCTATTTAGCAGGCCTTTATAAGTTGAATAGTTCCTGATGTCCACTTCACAAAAATTAGCATCACATCATCTTGAAAAAATGCATGCAAAGACTTTGAGTATTCAATTTAATTTGTGGTTTTAACGCCTCCATTTTCACACTCACAGGAAACATCTGCCCTACTAATCATTGTTACTTTCATTTCCACAGACAATGCATTCAAATACTGATTAGAGTAAGATGCTGTGAGCTCCCAGTGCATATCAAACAGAACAATGAACACCCAGATTACATTAGAAGGACTGTGACTAAAGACATTTAGACAGAATATGTGTTGATGGGGTAATTATTAGGTGGAGTAAATTGCAATGTAGAAGCTTTAACAAGTACTTGTATAAATAGTTTCTTTTCCACAGAAGAGATCTTGTAATGGGAGGGGGGGAAATGGTCCCTTACTTCTAGTAATTTCTAAAATCAATTGCCTGAAGTCCTATTGTAAGAATACCTTTAAAGTTTCGCTCTGAAATGCATTATATGTATTTAATTTTGAGTGGATAAATCTGGGTGCTGGTAGACATACCTGATCTGGTGATTTCTTCTTCACCTGTGCAGTGAGAATCGATAAGATTGATGCTGTGAGACAGCTACCTGAAGTGATCTAAAATGAAAAAGGCATTTTGAAATTAGGAAAAGAAACTTGCAAACTTCAATAATGATTGCCTCATAATGGCATGTTTTTCAGTCAATCAATATTTACAGTGTGGGCTCTGTGTACTGAGCCCAGTTAAATGTAGGCGTGGAAATACAAAGGAAAGAGTGAAAAGAACCTAGCTTAATGTCACTAAATATTTGTGAAATGAATGAATGAGCAAATAAAAATGGAAAAGATATAATCCTCTATCTGGATTAGTTTATAAATTATTTGAAAAGGAAAAATATCACATGAAAAAGATCTACTAATTATAGTCTATCAAATCCATAAGTCTGAATTATTTTATACAAAATTTCTACAAATAATTTTGGAATTAAAGATGAGCTAGAAAGAAATTTTTAAAGGAATTAGAGAGAAGACTTCCCAGAAGATGGATTATTTCTGGAGAACCTACTAAAACCACCTAAGTCACAAACCCTAAAGATCCCTGGAAGAGAAGAGAACACAGTAAAGTTAAATTTACACACACATATACACATGCATACACATACATATTTACACACGTGGGGGTGTGTGTATAATTTAATATTAATGGTGTGATATCATAAGTGTGTTAGTTTAAGATATAAATCTCAGTTACTTAATCAAAAATCACATCCTGTGGTGCTCACTTGGCATTTTTTCAGAAAGACCTTCCAGAGTCAACTACCAGGGCCTCTTCTAAGCATCTCTCTATCATCACCTGAGGCTTCGGTAATTAATCTGATGAATGTCAATCATGAATTTGCATTGGTGAAATTAGCATGATGACTGTTAGAAGTAGGTTCTTATTGGTGAGACTAGAAGTATTTAGATATGTGAATTTGCACATATACTTTAGTAAGGTTCCCCTCTCCTTTCATAACCACAATATAAAAATTGAGTGAGTCCTGTAAACTATATCCTCAAGCATAGTGGCCATAGCCTGATCCTAAAGTGATCTGTGTTTGGTTTAGAGTGTAGGAGAATTAGTAATTGCCCAATGACCACCACAAGACTACCTTTGTTCACATCCAATATTCTATACCAGGTGGTGATCAGAAGATCTTAGAACACCCCATGACTTTATTGAGATTAAAATATAGGTAGCATAAACTGTTTTGTGTTTGATTGTGATCAATGTCTGTATTTAATAAAATTCTATGTGTATGGCAGAACTTGATTTGACTTTTTATTATAACTTGATATCAAAATTGTCGTAGTAGCTGACTCTCTCCTGAAACTTCTTTGGTAGCTAACATCATCTACCAAAAAAAGAACCTAGGAGTTGGGTGTCACCGAATTGGCATAGCTTAGCTTGCATCAACATTCTGAGTACTGCGCTCCTAATCTCCAAATCCTCTCCATTGATTCTTTTTTTTATCAGAACAAGTTATTTTTATATTTATCTTTATTGTTGAAAGTATTCCAGATGTCATCTTTTTTCTCCATTGACCCTTTCTACCCCTCCCCCTCCCCCTCCCCAGGCCTTCACCACACTATTGTCTGTGTTCATGGGTCATGCATACATGCATATAAATTCTTATAAATTCTTTCCCCACCCACCCCCACATTCCTCAGAGACTCATCAGTCTGTTCCATGCTTCCATGTCTCTGGATCTATTTTGTTCATCAGTTTATTTTGTTCTTTAGATTCCACATATGAGTGAGATCATGTGAGGCTTATCTTTTGTCTTGAGGATGATTCTCCAAAGATTAATCATTTCAGCCCTGAAGCAGTCACTGAACAAATCCTCTTTGTTAGGCTCTGAGTTTAGCCTTAGTTATACAGAGCTGTGGAAGTCAAAATCATTATTTGTTGGGACTCACAGTCTAGTAAGGGAGCCAGACAGTCCAGAAGATAATTATGATTTAGTATAAGTAGAGAGTAATACAGGCTAATAATGAAGAGCAAAGATACAGATAGATATATGAATGTTGAATGCATTAATATTTAATCATTCAACAAATATTTTAATTTTTATCACTTACTGTATCCCAGACAGAGAGAATGAGCGAGAGACATAGTTTCTGACATTTTAAAACTTTCTGAGGTGTACATGCACGGTAGATGCAAAAAGAAACCAAAATTTCTGAGATCTCATTTGGCTTGATGCATGCCTTTAAGCTTATTCAGGAAATCATTTCTGTCTCTCAAAAATCTATTCCAATCCTGCTAGTTCCATGGCAACTGGTATTAAGTTAATGGACTCCATTTATTGTAGTGTCAAACCCAGAAATTCTACTGTTATAAATTTATCTCAACCATTATCTATGGGTAAGTACAAGACAGTTCACTAAAGTTGACAGCCAAACTAAAGATATCAATGGACAACGGCTAAAGTAGATCAGCAAAGCTGTGAGCCAATTAAATCAAGACCTTATGTTTTATTTTTCTTTATTGGATTTGCAATTAACAAAATGCTGGTAAATAGTAAGTACTTAAGCAAACCAAATTAATAAGTGATGAATGCCAACAAGTAAAATGTTAATCAGATAGTCACGTCAAACATGTGTCCAAATAATCGAAGACACTTAGCATCATCGTTGAATTATTTATAATGAACACTTTTATATAAGTTATTGTATTATATTTATAATTGGAAGGAAGCATCATTTTGCCAGCTATAGCCACAGGTATTTTCGACAGAAGTTGCTTCAATGAAAGCCCCTTGCTCGGATATGCTTTGGTGTATTTTTTTTCAAGATTGATAACTAAATTTTTTTCAAAAAGGAACTGCTCTGCATAACAGAGAGAGAATTTGGAGATTGCAGAATATAGAGAGGTAGGGAAGAAGGGGGGAGAAGGTAGGAGTGAGAAAAGGAAAAAAGGGATCTATGAGGTAGATGACCATCCCCACTAGCTTCTAAATTTTCAATAAAATAGGCAAAACTCACAACTGATATGATAAATGTTTTGTGGAAATCAGTAAAAATAATTCATTTCAGGTGGGATTGACACAGTGTGGGACAATGTGAGCCCCTTAGAAATCAGCATACAGTTTAAGGAGGGCTTTTAAATTTCATGGTCTTGAAATACAGAGACGTCGTGTTCAAGAAAATTTCATACAGGTGAAAAACCTTATTGAACATAAAAAATACACTAGAATAATATTATTCATGCACTAGGACATATTAATATGAATCTTGGTATAGTAGGCTGAATGACAACACCTCCCCTAAAGATGTCCACATCTTAATCCCCAGGACCTGTGAATGTACCCTTAAGTGCAAAAGGGACTTTTTGATATGATTAAGGATGCTGAGATGTAGATAGTATCCTGGGTCACCTGGGTGGGCCCAAATGTAACCATACGTGTCATTATAAGTCAAAGAGAGAGGCAGGAGGCACAGAATCCCAGAAAGATTTGAAAATGTTATGCTGCTGGCTTTGAAGATAAAGAAAGTGGCCATGAGCAAAGGATGCAGGTGTCCTCTAGAAATTTAAACTAGGGGACATCTGTAATACTGTCAACAATAAAAAATAAACTTAAAAAATAAAATAAAATAAATAAATAAAAAGCAGGAAAATTAATTCCCCTTAAAGTCTCCAGAAGAAAAGCAAACCTGCTAACACTTTGATTTTAGTTTAGTAAGACCTCCAAAACTGCAAGGTATAAGTTTGTGTTGTTTTAAGGCACTAAATTTGGCATAATTTGTTATAGCAACATTAAGAGACTAATGCATTCAGCTTAGTAAATCTTGCTTAAGTAAGAATCAGATCCACATGTTTTCAAGACTTGGCCAAATTGTAAGAAAACAATCTGTTGGATTGCTAGGGTGTGGGGCAGAAGGGAAGATGTAAATCACTGAACTGTATACTTTAAAGTGGTGAATTTTATGTTGTTTGAAATTTTAGGTTATGTGAATTATATCTCAATAAAAATCAATCAATCAATAACCTGCTGAGTAAATATTATACATTAACAACTAAGTTCTGTTTTAACCTATTGTTTGACTATTTAAATGTAATACCAGCATACTTTCCTATATTACTGTAACCATGTTTATGGTGATCGTGATGGTAAGATGGTGATAACAATTTTGATGAGGACAACTTTGATGGTAAGATGACGATAACAATTTTGATGAAGACAACAGCCAGGCTGCTTATTGTCCAGTCTGATTCAATTCCTTTAACGGTCTGTTCTCACCCTAAAGAAACATAATAAATAAATGAAACAAATCTAATACCCTTTATTCATTGACTTGATTCTGATCTATCTTTGCCTCCTTGGCATTACCCCTCATTTCTTTTTTAACCCTCTCCTTTCTTATGACTTCTGCCCAATTTAACCTCAGTGCCAGACAGTTTTCATCAACCACCCTGAATGCTGCTCTCACTCCTTCCCCAGAGGCACCCTGTGATCTGCCTCCCAGGAGGGCTCCGGCACCTGGACCTTTGTCTTTCTCTACACTGAGAGATGACTGGCCAGTCCACCCCCAAATTCAGAGCACGACTTCGACAGGGTCTTCCACTGCATCATCATCACCAGAGTATCAGGCATGATGAGGAAGGAAAACAGAATCAAGGAAAAAGGAGGTAGGTTGAGCCAGTAGCAGGAAGGGAGGCCCTTTTGCTGTGCAGCCTTGCAGAAGGCAAGGAGCTTGGTCCATATGATGGGGAGGTAGGAGCTCATATGTAGGGACAGAGGGCTAACAAAGATGGCCCAGAAAATCCAGCAGGACCTCACTATGCCCTGCAGCTAAGAGTATTGTCCCAGGTATTAGAGCAGATGGGAGAAAAAAACAAACACCTGGTTGAGTTTAGCAGTTTCTTGTTTAACAATACTGAATGCATTATATTAATAAACAATTCCTCAAGCATCCATTATGAATACTCTTCACAGTGAAACGAGGACATTTGAGTATTTCTTAAGATCAACTGTAGCCTGGCCGGGCGTGGCTCAGCTGTTGAGCATCAACCTAGGATCCAGGAGATTGCAGTTCAATGCCCAAGTTGAGGGCTAGATCCCCAGTCAGGGGTG